AGGGACTGCGTATAGATATATTTATTGACGCTTTAACTGACTCCATTAATTATTTTTTCAAAGTATGATTTTATTGTATTGTTGGGAGATTTTAACATTAACATGCTTGTGGAAAGTAATAGTAGTACTGTCAAACTTACTCAATTCCTTGATTACATGAACCTCCGTCAGGTTGTTAGTGAGGCGACTCATTACACATCGTATACTGAGATCTTGTTTGTACGAATGCACAGTTCGTGATGTCACTGTCAACAATATAATGGATTCCAAATGGACACGCAATGGTTATCATTATCGTTAAAAAAGGTTAAAATACCAACTAGAACTTTCAGTTTCAGGCCAATTAATAAAATAAATCTAAATGAATTCAATAATGATTTATATGCAATCAACTGGAACGATGTAATTGAGTTACCTTCAGTGGATATGATGGTGGAAAAATTTAATTCAATGATGATCTCTCTCTTTGATAAGCATGCAGCACTGAAAATAATAACTCTAAAATCAAAATATTCACTGCCGTGGGTAACCGATGTGTGTAAAATGATGATCGATGAGCGTAATATGGCTTACAATGTCTATAGAAAATCCGAATGAGACGAACATAAAAAATATTACAAGGAGCTCAAAAGTCTAGTGTTAACAAGTATTGCAGGAGAAAATTGGGCCTACTTCAATAGTTTAGTTAATTCTCAAGCTAAAACTAGCAAAAAATTTTGGTTGACCCCTCGAAAGACAAATCCTTGCCTCCCTATTTCAATGACCCAAACAAAATTAATGATCATTTCTTGAATATTCCGGGAGACAATGTAGTTTACAATGCAGACATAATATTTTTTGAACATAACAGATTCCATACCTTCCATACCATAAAGGTATTTAAATTAGCTCCCGAAAAAATCAACAGATATTTCTAAATATATAATGACAATAAAATCGAATGCTGTTGGACACGATTGAATTAGCAGAGATATGATATTACTCTCTCTTCCTTGCACTCTGGATACAATCACGGCTATAATTAATAAGTCAATTATGACGGGTATAGTTCCTGATAAGTGGAATCAGGCACTAGTGACCGCAATACCCAAAAATGAAAACCCGATCGAATTAAAAGATCTTAGGCCCATCAGTATTTTGCCATTCCTTGCGAAACTGCTGGAGAAAGCTATTTGCGATCAGTTGACATAATTTGTTGAAACGACCAACATCTTGCCTCATTTACAATCTGGGTTTCGCAAATGACGTGGCACATCGACTGCTTTACTCGATGTCACAGACAATATATTAGCTGAACAAGATTCCGGACACAGTACGATTCTAACGCTATTAGACTATTCCCGCGCTTTCGACTGCCTAAATATTCACCTACTGCTTGTTAAACTGTCATATTATGGTTTAGACAAAAATTCGGTCAAGTGGTTCAGTAGTTACTTGAATAATCGGTACCAATCAGTAAAATTGGTAAAAAGTGATGGGTCTATAGTAAGTTCTCACCCAAGGCTTATTAATCGTGGTATTCCTCAGGGTTCAATACTTGGTCCACTTTTTTTTATAATTTACTGCGCTGATCTTGTCAAAGTTATAAAGTATTCTACGTACCACTGCTACGCTGATGATGTGCAAATATACGTGTCGGACTCACCAGATAGTTACCACAAGCTGTCATACGGCTTAATGAGAACTTGGACAGAATTGCTGACTAGTCAATAAGAAATGCCCTTGTTTTAAACCCTTCAAAGTCAAAATATATGGTCATGGGCACAAAGAGGCAAATAAATAGAATTCGTGGTGACCTAGACGTTAAGATTCATGGTAATCATATAATGCGCGTGGATGAAGCTAAAAACCTTGGCATTACCTTCGACACTAATCTCAGATTTGAAAATCATGTCCTTAATATGGTAAAAAACTGTTTTTATCGCCTAAAGGTTTTATACCAAATCCGTGACCAACTTTCTGTACCATCACGCATTACTCTTTGCGAGTCATTGGTTTTGTCTAGGCTCAACTACGGGGATGTTGTTTATGGACCCCATATTTTCAGCAAAACAAAGCGACTAATAATACAACGCGTGCAAAATGCATATTGTCGGTTCTGTTTTGATGTACCTCCCAGAAATCACATTACACCCTTTCTGAACAATGCTTCCATGCTCAATATGGACTCACGTAGAGAGCTACATTTAGGGGGACTAGTCTTTGGTGTTATTAAGTTTAAGAAACCAGAGTACTTGCATGCAAAGATAAAGTTTGCTAAGCAAGCAAATTCTGGAAAAAAATTGAGATGCATAAGATCAGCACTCCTATATTACAGCCATAAAACAGCGGCATTTACCGGCAGTTTCCGATATATGGCAACGAAGTGTTGGAATAACATCCCACCACCAATAAGAAATCTTAACACCAACTACAAGTTTAAAAATAAATTCAAAACATATCTTCTAGATAAACAAAAACAAGGTATTCCCAAACACTTCGTTTGCCAGCTATAAACCATGGCATGTTATTTTCTTTTTTTTTCTTTTACTAACTCATCATGGTTTTTAAATCATTTAGGTACTAGCCTTAATTGGGTACGCAGTCTTACACATCTTTTCCGTATTTTTTTTACTAAATTAAACCCAAGGTATAAATCATAGAGCTGAAAGGACACATCTTTCAGACATTACAATAATATTAACGTGCAAAAAAAAAATAGTTTTTCCTTATTTCTTTCTGATTGTACTATTGTGCTCATTTTCTTCTCGCCACCTCGAGGGTAATAGCTGAAAATCAGTGTTTGCTCTCTGAGCAATATTAATCGCTTAGCTATGACCCATTTGTTTAACTGCTACACACGTGTATATTTAGATCATAAGTTTATGTATATTTTTTTCCATAATACTTTGATTGTATATCTAGTTTAATCACTGAATTTACATGTGTGATTGGAGATACAAATAAACGTTTTATCTGTCTATCTATCTAAGATAGAATATATTTTTACGACACTACTCCGATCCCCGGGCAGCAGAGCTTCTGAAAGCGAGTGGAAAAACGAAACTTTTTTAATTAGGGTGCTTTGGGGTAACTTCGAAAGGATTTATATGAAGTTAATAGACAATTTATGTTTTCTATCAAAAGTCAGAATCTGTACATTTTTACCTGAAACAAGCACAAGTTTTATGTAGTTTATATATTTTGTGAAGAAAAGCTCATTTCAAAAGTATTATTACATAGTTGCTAGATATCAAAATTTAATTTTTATTATTAGTTAGATTTTTTGATCCTCAAGTGTAATTTCGAAATACTGTGGGGCAATTTCGAATAACAGTCAAAAATGGTCTTTGTGCGGTATGGCTTTAAGGTACATATTCTTTTTTTGATTCTAAATTCCCCCACAGTTTTTTTTCTTTCCTAATGGTCACACAACTTTTGTTACAAATTTATTTTCGAAATTACCCCATGGCAAGTCAGTGTTTCTCAACATTTTTTACATAATCGGTAGGCAGGGAAAACAAAACAATAAAAATATTTGAATCAGTTTATTTATGATTTATTATGAGATCACATTATCGTAAATCAGCTGCTAATCAAGATATATCAATTATTTTTAAGTATGAATCTTCACTTATTATTAAACCATATCAATTATTATCATGGACTATCTTATCTTAATCAGCCTTGAGATTGACATTTTGAAAATACAAAAGGCTTATAATAAATTTATGTGATTGTACGTCATAAACAGTTAAGAAAACATGAAATAAAACTGGTACCTATAGCAAAAGGTAAAAAAACGACTTATCATTAAACATCTGCTCACATTAATACTTATAACTACAAACAAGGACTAAGAAATATTCTTAAACATATGCAAAAAAAACCTAGAAAATTGAAAATACCAAATCATAGAAAGACATACTTCGAAATTGTTCATAATTAAGTAGTTTAAATTAATAAGCAATTCTATGATTTTTTTAAGTAATCACAACCTTTTTTTTTAATACTAACTCGAATTGGTACCTAATTTTAAATTATTTTGAAAAAGGAAGTACTTTAACTTAGTACGAGATTTCAGTTCATAAACTAGCTGCTAATCAAGTAGGTAATAATTACCTAGTTATTTTTAAGTTTGCACCTTAACATTAGATCTACGTACTATCTATCGTAATCAGTCTTGCGATTGTCATTTTGAAAATACAAAAGACAAATAATAAATTTTTGAAATTGTACATAACAAACAGTTAAGACATTACATGATATAAAACTGGCACCTAAAGCAAAAGGTAATAAAAAAACGACTTTACATTAAACATCAGTTCACATCAATACCTTTAACTACCAAAAAGGACAAAGAAAATATTCTTAAACAATTACAACTTAGAAAATAGAAAATACCAAGTTCTCAAAAGATATACATCTGGGTTCATATATCTGGGTTTAGGAAATGAAGCGTTAATATACCTAAAATGGTCTGATGCGTTACCTATTCAGTTTATTATTCATAAAGTTATTCATTAAACTTAGTAGGTAACACATCGGACCATTTTAGGTATATTAACGCTTCAGTTTTAGGTATATTAATACTTCATTTCCTAAACCCAGAATATGAAAACGTAATGTAACTCTGTGCTTAAAATTGGTTACAAGGGTTTTTGTTCCTACGTTATCCTATGCTACTACAGACTTAAAAAAACTATTTAACATAAATAACTTAAAAATATATGTTGTCGCTCTCATTAACCAAGCTACAAATTTTATCATTCATTCTTTGCAAATTTATTTTCTTCACTATAGATATATTTGTAATATCATCATAATCTAATTTTTTAGTTTCTCTGAAACAAAGTTTGGGTGCTTTCATAGTTTTTAAATAAGCGATACAATACAATCTGTTTCCGTCTTTTTCTTTCATTCCTTTTATAAATCCAATATATAAAAGGAATAAAAGAATATTTCCATGTCTTTCTAACGTAATATCTGACTAACACGGAATCATTTATGAAGTAATTTTCTTATGGTGTTTCAATTTCTGTGTTATTTGTTAAATTTTTGTTAATATTACCTATAACTACCACACTAGAGTCGTCAGCAGTCTTATTAGTTTCTTTTGAGCCTTGGTTATTTTCTTTTGCTTTACTCTTTTTACCCACACATTCATTTTTAGTTTTGGTATGAGAATTTCCATTTTCGCATTCTTTAACTTCATTTGAAATTTCTTTATTCTCATATTTTTTTCCAAAGAGTTTAAATTCTCCATCTCAAAATTTAAATCCTCTGGCCAATTTTGTGTGTTTCATGGAGTGTTTCATCGTTATAATATTGATCAATGTCTATGTAGTCACTGTAGAGGCTTATCAAATCAGAAATATCAGACGAAGATTCATTCGAATCTATTTCTTTTTTTATGTTTTTTTCTTACCCTGTTTTTTCTGTTTAGTCACTTTTTCTATACCTGAAGGTCCCGCATCTGCGAAATCTATATCTTTTATTGACTTCCTTTTTTTCGGCTTAGCTTTTTTTGACGCTGTTTCGTTACTTTGCTTTTCCAAATCTTCAAATTGTTTAGAAGTTATTATTTCAGCTCCTTTAGCAACACGTGTTTTCTTTGTTTGATAATTAATATATTTCTTATCCTGTTTTATTTTGTCGAGCAGCAATTCTTCAAAATTGACCTTTACATTGAATAAAATTTTAATTTTTGGCTCAGGCTGTATATTTTGCTTGCATTTCAGACAATCTGGTAAACTGGAAATATTATTTGCCAAAAAGACTGCGTCTGATTATCTTTTCTTGAAAGGTCTGATAAGAAGGTGACATTTTGAGTATTCGTGTGTGTAACTACTCGTTCCACTTGTTCTTCTAAGTCAGGTGCAAACTGTAAAATTTTATTAAAAACGTCGATACATAAATTTTGCAGGCGTTCCGGATTTTTGAGAGCATTTGTGCGTAGCTTTTCTTTAAATCGTTTGTAGGCAGCTGGTTCAAATATATCCTGTGGTAATACATCAGGGTTGAACGGATAGATTCCAGTTTTTTTTTGAAGCCGCTTTTTTATTATCTCGGCATTTGTTTCTTACCACGTGTCCGCAAACGTCTGAGAAAAAACATTTTTAGGCATTTTAAGCCCGACGTTATGGCACTGCCATATAACTAATTTAGCATCCCACTTACACTTAAATGATCTAAAGACCGCTACATCCAATGGTTGTAATAAGTGGGAGGTGTAAGGTGGAAATTTTAAGATTGTGATTCCATGTCAGATAGCCAGTTGTACGACATCTACAGTCACATGAGATGAATGGCCATCGTAAATAATCAATACGGGGCGTTCTTCACCGAGAGCCTGAAATAATGCTTTTTTCTACCTTCCATACAACCTTTGCTGCTTGCTGCGTAGGTCAACTCAAATGAATAATCTTTTTTATCAGCCGTCCACTGTTTCCATATATATTGCCTCTTAAATACTATTGAGGGTGCTATTTTTTGGCCAGTGGCATTTGCGGCCGCTAAAACAGTAATATTTTCTTTGCCACTGCCAAATGTTGCTCTTGAACAAGGCTTGTTAACCGCACCTACTACTTTCGTCTTTGAAGGATCTAGACACAGAGAGGTCTCGTCCAAGTTCCAAATTAAATCGGGACGGTCAAACAAATTGAGATCGGCTAAAGTATTTCCTAGTAGCTGAAAATACTCATGAATAATAAATGGGTCCGTCATTTTTTTTCGAGTATGTTCAAGAGGTTGAGGTTTTTTAGTTGACAATCGGTGTCTTTTTTTAAAATTAAGAAACCAATCTGGGCCAGGTCTGTTGTTATGAGTTTTCAGTTTATTTTTCGCAACATAGTCAGTAACTACATCAAGCATTTCGTTTCTAGACAGACCAAACCCCCATTTCTCCATAATTCGAAGGCCATTTGCCAATTCTTCTTTTTGTTGAAAAGGGATAGCTTGTGGTCTACCAATGTTTTGGATGTGATTTAGTTTCACTTTATCAAAAAGAGTCGTTGTGGGAATGCTATATTTTTTTGCAGCACCATAAATTGAAGATATCCCCTGGTTGACTTCTTCCACTGCTTTTTCAACATCTTCTTGGGAATATTTTTGCACTTTCTTTTTTATATATTTTCGAGGCATCACTCTGAAAAATTAAATTAAATACTTAGTATGTAAATGATACTTCACACTTGAATTTCAGTAGGCAGGTATATTCCACAGACATAATTTCAAAATTTTTGCATTATCTGTTTAATATGATTAACTGATATCAAAATACTAATTTAAAAAATAAAATTGACTTCAAAAGAGTAGTTTTATTACTTTACCACAAATTGTGTACCTACTTAGTAGAAAAACCTTAATTCAAAATTTTTAGCTATGTATATTTTTTTTGCTAAAGTAGTATTGTGATATTTTTAATATAAATTTTTTACTTTTGTAAAGTTTTAGCAAAAATTTATTAAATGCTAAATTGTTAAATCAGTTTGTTGACAAGTAGTTTGGCACATTAACTACGTCACTATCCCGGTCACTTAACTAGCCAACTTTCGATTACATGTATAAGAAAATATCTTGAATTTACTTACCAGTCTCTACATCAAATGAAACTTTAGTAGGTAGGTATTAACTCTTGCAAACAAACAAAATAAAAAATTATTTTCATTTAACTGTTAATTTTTAATTTCACAAAATTATTGCATAGGTACCTAACATCAGCTTTCATAATAAATAAACTCTTACAAAAAAAAGTACAAAAATTGTTTAATTGTGATTCTATTACATTTTTATTATAGCGCAATAAAGTACTTATAAAAAAATATTAGTTTGAGAACCACTGGTCAAAAGCATAATCTTCCGAAATTTATCTATGGGGCAATTTTGTAAGTATTTTTAAAACTGTAGCTATAATAATAAAGATAATCTAAAAATGCGTCAAAAACGTCAATCCATTGATAAAAAAGACAATCAATCGTTTAACTTACCAAATCACTTAATAAAATGATGTGGGGTAATTTCGAAACTCGCCAAAATCCACGAAAACCCATTTTTTTTATAAAATATCACACACAACACACGTACCTGCTGAGAGCGAACAGAGCTGACTGAAACCCGGGAGTAGATCAACATGGCGTCTAGGTCAGTGTTGCCAGGAAACAATATAACTGTCTGTTTTGTAGTAATGTTTGATTTTTGAAATTACCCCAGATTCGAGGTTACCCCAAAGCACCCTATGTGCGAGCATCTATGCAGGTCTAGAGAAAGAGACCAGTATCACTGTGAGCTAAATAATCTATTGTGATCGCTGCTATAGCTATAGTTCACTGATAGGCTATGTCTTTAATGAATAGGAGTTAGCTTAGCTGTGAGCAATATCACTTTTTCTGGGCGGAATACATAGTTTCCTAAATGAGTGATACGTTTGCGCATTAAAGTTCCGCAATCAGTTAGGATGTGCAGCGGTGTTTCTTCCGTTATGGAACAGAACGGTCACATCCTTGAGTTGCTTAGTCCCAGGATGGACATGTGATTTTTAAGACAATAGTGTCCAGTTAGGGCTCTTGCCAGAATGCGCAACTTATTTTTGCTAGTCTGTGTGGTGAGCATTAGCATCACAACCCACCACAAGTACGGCGTTGTATTTCCGGGCGATCTCCACCACTCGCTCTAACTTGATGGTAAGATCTTAGTTCTCTCCGGGAAGATAGGCTGATTACTCTGATTACTCTGGCCCCTGTGCATACCTTGAGATTTATGAAGGCTGCAACCAGGTCATCGATGCAGTACTCTGGAAGAGCCAAAAGTTTAATATTTTTATTGTAAATTATATAAGATCTGGTTCCACTGCCTTTAGTATTGACTAGAATCTTACCGACAGACGACAATCCCAGTACTTGACCGTTGGCCTTCCAAGGTTCTTGTATGAGGGCGAGATCAATGTTGTCCTCTGCAAAGCAAATCTCCACCATGCCAGAAGCAGCTGCTGCATGGTGAATATTTTCCTGGAGGACCCTCGTCTTACCTTTGGGGTTAGTCATTTATGGGCGTGGGGAAGCGGGGGTCTTTTCCGCCTGTTGAGGACGAAGACGTACTTTACTGGCGCTCTTGACACCCGCCATACCTTTCGCTTTACCGCTCCCACCTCCTTCCCCCTTACCTCTGGACGACACCGACGGAGGCCTTCGGACCGAGGCGAGATCAGCGCCTTGGGTAAACGTCACTCTCACTGATGACGTTTCAGTCTCACCCCGAGAACTGGGGGACTGGGGGGCTTGAAGTTGGGGCAGTTCAGGTTCCACTGCCGCGTCAGAACCTCCCTGTTTCGGTATCATTTTAAAGTGAAGTACTGATTTTGCCGCCTGCTTTCGTAGGAGCCTCCGTCTATGGGGCGTCAAGAGAAAATATCTCAGCGGCCACTGCCGCTCCTACAACCTCCGCAGCCCCCGCTGCCACCTCTGCCCCCGCAGCCCCCGCCGCTGCCGCCGTCCCACTTATGTCACTAGACATCCCCACACCGTCCAAACCAGCCTCTCGTTGTGCTCCAGTCCTTGCCAAGAAGCAAGTCCCACCCCTGTCTTCCTAAGAGACAAGGCAAAATTTACCCAACTCTCGAAAACCTGCTACGACGCAGGAATCAAATATGACCATGCCATTAACCTCGGCGAATCTATCAAAATCGTCCCTAACTCAATCGAGGACTTTCGACACCTCACCAGGCTTTTCACAGCCGAACGAGTGTCTTACCACACCTACGCTCTTCCGGAAGAGCGAAAAGTTAGGGCCGTCATCCGAGGCGTCCCCTTTGAATTCACCAACGAGGAAATCCTTGAGGACCTTAAGTCCCAAGGTTTCCCCGTAGAAGCCGTGCACAAAATGCACAGTAGAACGGGCAAGAGGTTCAACCTAGCCCTTGTGATCCTAAACAACGTGCCGGAGGCAAAAGCCATCTTCCGGCAGGTACGCACAGTGTGTGGCCTGTCGAGAGTGAAGGTTGAGCCCCCACATAGGCGCGGATTACCGGCGCAGTGCCACCGCTGCCAACTATATGGTCATGTGGCGGCCAACTGCTCCACCCCACCCAGGTGCGTTAAGTGCCTCGAACCCCACAACACCAAAGAGTGCCCCCGGCCCAAAGACGCCGAATCCCCGCCCGCATGTGTCCTGTGCAAACAGACAGGCCACCCGGCTAACTACAGGGGCTGCCCCTGCGCACCTCAACCTCGCCCCAGTAGGCAAGCTCCACCGCCGGTCAATGACCGCTCATTCCCGGCCCTCCACCAACGGCCCCGTCAGGGCCTTTCTCAGCCCATCCAGGGCTTCTCTCGGCCCTCTCAGGGTCCCCCTAGGCCCCCTCAGGGCATAATTCGGCCTCCTCCGGGAGGAAGCTCCTGCAAGCCTATGCAGCCTCCAGTCTTTCCCTGGGGCCCCAAAAAGGCAGACCCACCGCGGACAACCTCCTACCCCCAAGAATCAGAGCCCACAGCTGATGACTACAAAACACTGTATTCCGCTATTAGGAATATTGACATTAGGGAAATCACTGTAGTAGCACGCAAACTAAGCGCTGCGAAATCCCCTCAAGAACGTCTCCTTGCTCTTTCAGAGCATAATAATCTTCTGTTAGCGTTGTAAGTTAAGTTAACTTAATTAACTTAACTTCAATGACAGAGCAGTTTGCTATACCAAAATCTCACGGTCGTATCAAACCTAAGGGTTTATCGCTTGTATCCTTTAATATTCGCGGTTTGCGAAATAACCTCCCAGAGCTTAAGCTCTTTCTTCGGAATCGTGAAGCCGATTTCCTCCTCCTACAGGAAACTAATCTCAAAACTAAGGACACTGAAGGCCTTTCTACGAGTATTAAAAACTTCTCTCTTCTTCGTAACGACAGACCCGACCGCCGAGGCGGCGGAACGGCCATCTATTACAAGAAGACACTTCACGCTCGCCCATTTCTACTCCGCAGCTTACCAACATGGAAGCCACGGTATCCAGGCTAGCTATGACTGGACATCAGTCCATCCTCATAGCCTCCTGTTACATCCCTTCAGGAACCCATCCCCTCAAAAAAGATTTTGAGGCCATCTTATCTTTAGGAAATTTAGTCATTATGTTTGGAGATTTTAACTCCAAGCATACTGAATGGACATGCCGTACTACGTCCCCTAGTGGCAAGATACTGCTCGATATCACGTAGTCTTTTGATATTGTCCTCCATAGTCCCCTCGGTATTACTCACTTTCCCGATAACACCGATCATGCCCCCCGATGTACTAGATTTTGCGTTACTCCAAGGAGTTTCTCTCAACCTCAGAGCAATCGAGACACTAGACGATCTAGGATCCGATCACCGACCGGTCTCCCTCATTCTTGGCCATCAGCCACCTCCCCCAACACACACGAAAACCTTCACTAATTGGAAGGGATTCAAGGAGTCTTTAGCTAAAGCTCTGGACTCACAGGACTCTACCATCTCCCTACCGTCGGACTTAGACAGTCCCGAAAAAATCGACACCGCGGTCGATTCACTCTCCACCCTTATCAAATCCTCCCTTAAGGAGAACGAAAGGGTCGTCCCGGTTGCTAACAATAGTGGGCTTCCACTACATATTAGCAACCTATTAAAAGCCAAAAAAGCTGCTTTCCGGAGAGCAGCTAAATATCCCACCCCCGAATATAGGCGCGCGGCCAATCGTCTTCAACGAGAACTCCGTTTCCGCCTCTCTGAATTTCGAGACCTCGAAAAGAGTAAACTCATGGAGAATATCTCTCCATCTCATACAGCGTACTATCAGATGGCTAGAGCCCTCCGCGTAGACGCTATCACCCACGCCTCCCCCCTCTCTCCCATCCCGACGGCACGGTTGCCTTCGAGGACGAGGAAAAGGCTGAGTGCTTTGCAGATAGCATTGCCGCACAATGCTCTCCTAGCTCTCAACCCGTCGACCCCTCACACGTCCAGGCAGTGGAGGGTGAGGTCCGCCGCCGGAACTCACCCCCTACAGCCTCCGAACCTATCTCTGTGTCCAATGATGAGATTTCATTCCTCATCAAAGGACTTAAGCCTAAAAAGGCTCCGGGCGCGGATGGCGTCTCCAACCAAGCCCTAAAACACTTTCCTGAGCAGGTGTTAACCTTTT